TTCTTTTCTCTCTCTCTCTGTCAAAATAAATAACTTAAAAAAAAAAAAAGACCTGAGCTGAGATCAAGTCAGACACTTAACCAACTGAGTCACCCAGGTGCCTCAGAAGAAAGATCATGTGAAGACACAGTGAGAAGACATCAACATACAAGCCAAAGAGAGAGGCCTCAGAAAAAAACAGCCCTGCTGACACCTTGATCTTGGAATTCCAGCCTCTAGAACTTTGAGAATATACATTTCTTGTTGTCTAAGCTGCCCAGTCTCTGGTATTTTGTTGAGGCAGCCCTAGGAAACTAATATTCTCTGCTTCTTCTCATGGAATTCCATCAGTGATGGCCCTCAAATCCACCAAATTACCCTGGTGTGGTGATTTTAAAGAAAATAGCCACAAAATCCTTTGACACTTCTCCCCCTGAGAGGTAGGATCTGTGTCTACTCTTGAATCTGGGTGGGATTGGGCTACTTTGACCAATGGAATGTAGTAGAAATGACACTACGTGACTTCTGAGGCCAGGTTGGAAAAGGCCATGAAGCTTCTACTGGTTCTCTGGGGGTTCTCATTCTGGAGGAAGGCAGCCACCATGCAAGAAATCTAATTATCCTGGGGCGCCGTGTTAGAAAGGCCTTGTGTAGGTCCTTGGGATTCGGGTTATTCCAACCCAAGTACCTGGCATGTGGATGAAGGAAGCTCCAGATGAGGCCAGTCTCCAACCTTCAAGTCACTTCCAAACTTTCAAGTCTTTGGGGGCAGAAAGAAGCATCTCCTCTGTGCCTTGTTCTAATTCCTAACCCATATAATCCATGAGCATAATAAAATAGTTGTTCTACCATCACTACGTTTTAGGGTGGTTTCTTATGTAACAATAGTAACAGGAACTCAAACACTATGGGATTCATTAAGACCCCTTTTTCTTTCTCACCCCCCATGGCTGTCCAGTCTCCAAGGCCCGTCTCCTGAGCCCGGACAATCTCTCCCCAGACCACACTTCCTCTCTATGTTACTGCTCTGGGCAGCTCTTCAACAACTTCCCTTTAATCTTTTGCAACACCCTCCACTCTACGGCCTCTGGCTTCAATTGGGAACATTTTCAACTCTATCCCTTTGCAGGACTCTAGGACTTTTTTTCCCCCCTGAAGCACACATCTGACAAGTCCCTCTCTTGCTTAAATGACTTTTCATTTTTCCCTATTCTTTTTAAATGGAAGTATAGTTGACAATGTTACATTAGTTCTAAGTGTACAACATAGTGATTCAACAACTCTATACATTACGCTATGCTCACCACAAGTGTACCTCCCATCTGTCAGCATACAATACCATTACAATGCCATTGACTATGTTCTCTATGCTGTACCTTCCATTCCCATGACTTACTCATTCCATAACTGGAAACCTTCCATTCCCCTTCACCCATTTTGCCCATTCCCACTCCCTGCCCACCTCTGGCAACCATCAATTTGTTCTCTGTATTTATGGTTTTGTTTCTGCATGTTTGTTTGTTCATTTATTTTTTAGATTCCACATATAAGCGAAATGATACAGTGTTTGTTGTTCTCTGACTGACATTTCACTTAGGATAATACCCTCTGGGTCCATCCATGTTACTGCAAATGGGAAGATCATTCTTTTTTATGGTATATGTATACCACATATCCTTTATCCACTCATCTACTGACGGACACTTTGGTCGCTTCCATATGTTGGCTGTTGTATTTTGTTTTTAAAGTACATATCACACCCAGCATGAAGCCCAATGCAGAGCTTTGAACTCATGACCCTGAGATCAAGTCCTGAGCTGAGATCAAGAGTCAGACACTTAACTGACTAAGCCACCCAGGCACCCCATTAGCTACTGTAAATAATGATGCAAATAAACATAAGGGTGCATTAATTTTTTTATTCAAAAAGAATTAAACACCAATTAAACACTAATTTAGTGTTTTTGCTTTCTTTGAATAAATACTCAGCAGTTGAATTACTGAATCTTGTAATATTTCTATTTTTAATTTTTTGAGGAACCTCTATACTGTTTCCAACAGTGGCTGCACCAATTTACATTCCAACCAACATGAGGTTCCTTTTTCTCCACATCCTCATCATACTTGTTATTTCTGTCTTTTTTATTCTAGCTAGTTTGATGAGATAATATTTCATTGTGGTTTGCTGATGATTAATGATGTTGACTACATCTTTTCATGTGTCTGTTGGCCATCTGGATGGTTTCTTTGGAGAAATGTTTATTCAGGTCCTCTGTCCATTTGAAAATCAGATTATTTTTGTTTTTGTTTTTTCAGTGTTGAGTTGTATAAGTTCTTTATATATCTTGGATATTAACCCCTTATTGGATATAACATTTGCAAATATCTTCTCGCATTCAGTAGGTTGTCTTTCTGTTTTGTTAATGATTTCCTTTGCTGTGCAGAAGTTTCCTATTCTGGTATGGTCCCAATGGCTTTTTATTTCCTCTAGAAGAAATTCCAAGTCCTTCTTGTAGCAGTAAATATCCTCTAAGAGATGGTCCCTGCCATCACTTACTGCTCTCTGCTTCATTACCTGTGCTCCAATAACCAACTTAACCTGGTCTTGGCCTCTTTCCTGTGCTTTTTTCACTCTCCTCTGCCTGGAATACAATTTTCTTTCTCTTCTTTACCTGAGCCTCTAAGACCCAGCCTATATGTTACCTCTTCCTGAATGATACTAGGTCTTGTTAGTCTGAGTTTAGCTGTTTCTTTTGGGGTATCTCATAAAAACCGAGGCATCTCTCTATTACTATGTATACTCTCACTCTACGGTGACCAAGTGAGGCAGAGCAGAGACAGGGCTTGAGTCCCCTCAAGTCTGACTGAGAAACCCAGTGTCCCTTGATAGTTGAAGCCCTTGACTGGCATATCTTGTAGAAATGTGGAAGCAGGATGCTTACCAAAGGAGGGCCTCGACTGGCGAAGACAGATCCAAACCAGTCTGTGCAAGGTGGACCCCAGCACTGACCTTTCACTGACTTCTCCCCGATTATAATGCTAAAAACACTCCCAGGGATGAAGATTTAACATACTAATGAGACATGCAATGCATGATGAAGCATGTTCTGTTCACTACACCTGTGCGCCCAACTTCCTGTATCTCTCCCCAACTACATGACTCAGAGTCACTCCTTTTCCATCTCAGTCTCTTTAAGAACTTTCCCTGGCCTTTGTCAGAGAGCTAACATGAAGGACCTTGTGCTTGAGCATAAGCTCCAATGAAAGCCTGGAACTCCTCTAGTAAATGCCTCTAGTAAATTTCTATCACTTAGAGAACCCAAAGGACCTGAGTCAGTGACACAAGCTCTTCATGTCTTATCTCTTCATCCAGCTGGTCAGAGTCCAGGTCTGATTACTTTCTACATCCCCAGGAACCAGCAAGGGAGAACTCCTTTGGAGACCTATGCCTATACAGGATCTACCACCCTTATTCCTTGATAAGTGGACACCATTTTATTCAGGAGGCAATTTCCTTCACTGTAAACCAATCAGGGCAACTACATTAAAACTCTGTGTGTGTGTGTGTGTGTGTGTGTGTGTGTGTGTGCGCGTGCACCAGGCATTGGTCTAGAAATAGGGTATATTACTTGGTTCTGTCAGTGAAAAGTAAGAAGAGGTTGCAAAGACTCAAGAACAGATCTTTCTGCCTTATAAAATGAGAGAGGCATATGAATGAAGTCCGTTTTTCTGGCTTGGGAGATTATGTTGCCCTGATGTGGTGTCTGAAACAATGGCAGCCATTTCATTATCATGTTCAAGAAGCCCTTGGGAGAAAACCAATAGGATGGGGGACTGGAAGGATTACATTAAGCTCATTCTTGTTCACACTCAGAACCTACTTCCTTTCAATTAAAAAAAATTTTTTTAATGTTTATTTTTATTTTTGAGAGAGAGACAAAGAGATCGAACCCGCATGCACATGCGTGCATGTGTGTGAACAAGGGAGGTGCAGAGAGAGAAGGAGACACAGAAACCAAAGCAGGATCCACAGAATCTGATGCGGGCTGGAACACACGAACTGTGAGATTATGATCTGAGCTGAAGTCGGACGTTTAACCGACTGAGCCACCCAGGTGCCCTGAAAAATATCTTTATTATTTATGCCAGAATTTTCATGAGGAAACTATCATGATTATATCCTTAAGGTAGTACTGATTAACTACCTACAAACTAGAAGGGTTCCCACAGACTCTTTGGCTGGTCCAGCTGTGCCTGGGGGGTTGATACAAATCCTATTGCTTATTCTTTCATCTGAAATGACAAGATGGACACAGGCTTTGGTTGTTCTTGAGTCGTATCCTTTATAATAAACTGGTAAACAAAAGCAAACTGCATTCCTGAGTTCACTGGGCCACTCTAGCAAATTATTGAACCTGAGGAGGGGGTTAGCGGAGCCCCTGATTTATAGCTGGTCAGCCAGAAGTATAGACGGCAAGCTGAGAAGTAGCATCTGAAATGGGGGCAGGCTTGTGGGACTGAGTCCTTTACTACACATTTGGTGTCATGAGTGCTACATGGGCAGGGGTGCCTGTGTCCTCAGTCAGTTAAGCATCTGACTCTTGATCTCAGGGTCATGAGTTCAAGCCCCTACTTAAAAAATGAAACAAAACAAAAAAAAACACAAAAAAAGTTGTGTGAGTAGAGAAACAAGTTTTTTACCATCTTCTATGATTTTTATTGCTTGCCTTGAGTTCCTCTCATCTCACTAATAGTTTCTTTCATTTTCTTGAATCTCTGAAGGAGAAAGGGCTGGACATCTAGATTCTTTGACCCTTGATATCTAGAGGGCTGGATTCCTGCCCCCCATACTAGGTTGGAGGTGAGGGGAATATTCAGACTTACTAAGAAGGGGAGGCTGGCAACACATCCAAGCTGCTTTCTGGGAAATTGCAAGAAGCCCTGGGTTTCTGTCACCTGATTGGTCCCAGCTTCACTGCCCCTTCCCCTTGTCCAATAAAACATCCGCCCAACTTGAGTCACTCTGCAGGAAGCCAGGAACTAGAGACAGAAAAAGGATCTCAGCTGGTGGTGAGTTGGGGGTTTGACAATTTCAGAACTTACTGTTTGAACATCTGCTATGTGGTAGATACCTTCTAAACCCTTAGAGCTGAACTGTCCAATACAGAAGCCACTTGCCACATATGGTTGTTGAGCTCTTGCTGGTCCAACCTGCCACGGGCTGTAAGTGTGAAACCAACTTAGTATACACACATTATTAAAATTAATATGTTATTATAATCCATTTCTTTTACTTTGTAAAAAGAATGGTAACTCTCATATATGGCTCATATCTGTGGCTTGCATTTATGTTTCCACTGGGTAGCGTGACTCTAGAAATACGACATAGTTTGGTAGTCTTCTAGCATAGATGCTAATGTGGAGGATATTTAGAATAGAAAATAAACAAATGGATAAATAAACTAGAAAAATATCTGGTACAGCTGCTTTGCATTATGGGCCAGATGGGGCCTCTGAAGGTGTTAAATATCTAAGCCTAGACTGAATATTTAGTAAGAGCCAAATGTGGCAAGTCTGAAAGAGCATCGTAGGCAGAAAGAACAGAGGATCCGGAAACCCTGAGATGGCAGTGAGCTCAGCACATTCAAGGAATTGAAGGAATTCAATTTGAATGGAGCCCACTGTGTAAGATGGGAGTGAATGTATGCCGTACGATTGAGTGTGATGTTGTGATACACGATAAATATATGTTGGGTCTTCCTGTTTCTGGCACTGAGCTCCTAAAACCCTAGGAATTTCCTAAGTGATGAGAGCGATAGAGGTGTCTTTTGTTATGTTAACGAGGTGACTCTGGGGAGGCACCTAAGGCTGGGGGCTGGTTGCTGGAGCTTTCAGGCTCAGCCCCCTGACCTTCACAAGAGAAAAAGAGATGGAAGCTGAGTTTAATCTCCAGCGGCCAATGAGTTAATCAGTTGTGCCTATGTAGTGAACCCTCCATAAAACTCCAAAAGGATGCGGGTTTCAGAGGGCTTCCAAGCTGGTGAAAACAGGTGGAGATGTCAGGAAGGCGGTGCACCTGGAGAGCCCACAGAAGCTTTGCGCCCTTGCCTCATACCTGGCCCCACGCACCTCTTCCATCCAGCTGTTCCTAAGTTACATCCTTTTCTAATTAACTGGTGATCTAGTAAGTAAAATATTTGTCTGGGTTCTGGCGTCACTAGGTTTAATGAGGAAGAGGTTGTGGGAACCTCTGATTTACAGCCAGTCAGACACACAGGTACCCTGGGCTTGCAGCTGGTGTCTGATTTGGCCCCGGGGCAGGAGGGGCGTCTTTTAGGACTGAACCTTTAACCTGTGTGATTTGATGGTGTCAGAACTGAGCTGAATTCTTGGACACCTACTTGTTTGTTGGTGTGGGGACTCCCCCACACTTTGGAAACTGGGTCACAAAAGAAGGATAGGGCAGATCCAAGAGTGCTCGGTAAGCTTGAGTTCGGAGTCTGGAATTCACTAGAGGGTGGTGAACAGAATAATGTCATGATCTGTGTTTTTAAAAGGTCATATGGCCACTGTCTGGAGAATGGATGTTTTGAGGTGAGTGGGGGGAGGCATTCGGAGCAGGAACAAGCTATTTGCAAGGTCAGTGCAAACATGCAGATCAGAAGAAAGGGGCCACGGACAAAGGCAGTGGGGATGGAAATGATTCTGAGTGTGGATTCAGTTGCTTTACAGACAGAATCTATAGACTTGGATTGCTTTGGGTGATAAGGGAAAGACAGTAAGTATATGTTTTAGATATGGAGTTTAGCAGCTGAGTGTTTAAATTCCAACTAGATACAGAATACTGTGAAGAGAGGCAGATTTGGGAGGATGGAATAGTTGATTTGATCTGGGTAATGTCAGGTTTGGAGTGCCTATGGTATTCCCACAGGGAGATGTCATGAAGTCAGATGGTTATATCAGGCTAGAGCTTTAGGGGAAAGCCAAGGCTGATGACTTAGAGGAGAAGTTATCAGTACAGGGGTGCCTGGTTGGCTCAGCTGTTGGAGGGGGGGACTCTTGACCTTGGGGTTGTGAGTTTGAGCCCAACATTGGGTGTGGAGATTACTTAAACAAACAAAACTTAAAAAGAAGTTATCAGTGTGGTATTATAAGCCATAAGATCGGATGATACTATCTATGGAAAGACTACATAGAGAGGATGAAGGGGAACAGGTACAAGCCCTGGGATGCCCTAACATTTAAAGTGAAATTTAGAGGGGGCTCCTGGCTGGCTCAGTTGGTGAAGAGTGTGACTCTTGATCTCAGGGTTGTGACCTTCAAACTCCATGTTGGGCATAGAGATTTCTTAAAAATAAAATCTTTAAAAAACAGAACAGGATGGTTTATTTTTATTTTTACTTTTTTTTTTTAACATTTTATTTATTTCTGGGAGAAAGAGAGAGAGACAGCGTGAGCAGGGGAGGTTCAAAGAGAGAAGGAGGATACAGAATCTGAAGCAGGCTCCAGGCTCTGAGCTGGCAGTCAGCACACAGCCCGACGTGGGGCTTGAACCCACGAACTGTGAGATCATGACCTGAGCCGAAGCCGGATGCTTAACCAACTGAGCCACCCAGGCGCCCCTATTTTTAAATATTTACTTATTTATTTATTAGGTTTATTTATTTTTGAGAGAATGGATGGGTGAGGAGCAAAGGGAGAGGGGGACAGAGGATCTGGAGTGGGCTCTGCGCTGACAGCAAAGAACCCAACTCAGGGCTTGAACCCACAAACGGTAAGATCATGAGCCAAAGTTGACGCTTACTTAACCCACCGAGCCACCCAGATGCCCCATTCATTTTTTTAAAGTAGGCTTCACACTCAGCATGGAGCCCAACGTGGGGCTTGAACTCACGACCTTGAGATCAAGACCTGAGCTCAACACCTCAGCTGAGATCAAAAGTCAGATGTTTGACCAACTGAGCCCCCCAGAGCCCCCAGGATGGTTTCTTTTTATTAAAAGAACTTTTTAAAGTTTATTTATTTTGAGAGAGAGAGAGAGAGTGCGAGCTGGGTAGGGGCAGAGAGAGAGGGGAGAGAGAGAATCCCAAGCATGCTTTGCACAGTCAGCCAAGAGCCTGATGCAGGGCTCGAATTCATAAATTCATGAACCACAAGATCATGACCTGAGCCAAGATCAATAGTCTGTCACTTAACGGACTCAGCCACCCAGGCGCCCCTGGGATGGTTTCTTTGTAAAAGGAAGAGATAAGATAATATTCATGTGATAGTGAAAATAATCTAGTATTAAGAAAATCTTGGGGTTTTGTTTTTGGCAGAAAAGAAAAGGGATAATGCAGGAGGAAAATTTGGGGGAAGGTGAGGTAGAGAGGGATCCAGGGCAAACATGGGAGGGTAGCCATTGGGATCAACAAGCACTCTATACTGACTGTAGCAGTGCAGGTAGATTGGAAGGTTTGGGGCAGAGAAGGCTGAAAAATTCTAATGGTTACCATTTTCCCATTAAAATATGAGGCAACAGCATCAGATGAGAGCAGGAATGAGGAGTGGCGAGGCCACGGAGAAGCAGGCAGGAGAAAGCAGAACTACAACAGTTATTTCAAAACTTGGAAATGCAAAGAAGCTGGAGAGGTAGAGTCAGTAGACACAGACGTGCTGAGGTGCCTTATGAAATCCAGTCAGAAATCCAACTGTGCCCCTTAATAATTGAGACATTGGGCAAGTCACTTCCCCTGCCAGAGTCATGGCTTCCTTTTACATTATGTGGTAATGATACTTTTTTTTTTTTTTTAACATTTATTCATTTTTGAGACAGAGACAGAGTACGAGTTGGGGAGGGGCAGAGAGAGAGGAGACACAGAATCCGAAGCAGACTCTAGGCTCTGAGCTGTCAGCCCAGTGCCCCATGACCTGACCATGAGTGAGATCATGACCTGAGCCAAAGGCAGATGCTTAACTGACTGAGCCACCCAGGTGCCCCAATGATACTTTTTTTTTAAGTTTATTTATTTTGAGAGAGAGAGAGAGAGAGCAAGGTAGGGGCAGAGAGAGGGAGAGAGAGCAAATCCCAAGCAGGCTCTGCGATGTCAGCACAGAGCTCTATGTGGGGCTTGAACTCACAGATGGTGAGATCATGACCTGAGCCAAAGTCCAGAATGGGATGCTTAACTCACTGGGCCATCCAGGTGCCCTGATTATGTGGTAGTGATACCTATCCAAAAGCAAGGCTGTTGCAATCAGAGATCAGAAAATGTACAGTGATTGGTACATTTGAGGGGCTCACCAAATAGCAGCCATCATAATCCACTGTAGTATCATCTGTAGTTCGCAGGTTCTGTGTCCCACGCTGCAACCAGGGTGGGCCCCTAATTTTACACCTGTGTCTCACTGGCCTTTCCCCTCCTGTCATTGCACAATTGACCTTCCCTGTTGTAGCAACATCATCCCTTCTGAGTGCCTTGTAGGGTGCTTAGTGAGCGGGTAGAGAGAACTTGACTCTGTTATGGAAGTATAACAGGTGGAAGAAAGTGGTGAGGACAGTTCTGGGGCTGGAATCTGGCTGAGCTCAGATTCTGGCACATGTCAATCCCCAAACGCCATACACAAGGGTTGCCGCGAGGGCTGAAGGAGCTCTTGACATACGGAAAATGCTCGTTAGGACTAGCTGCTACTGTTGTGAGCACTGTTCTTGACTTGAAATTGAGATTCCACAATGCATGGCCCAGGATAGAGCATAAAGCCTGGTGAAAACCAAAATTTCCCATCTGCTAGACTCACTTGGTCCTGCCTGAAAGATTTCCATGTCCACTCTCAACTAATCCTCACCTGAAAAGCAGTCTCCTCCATAAAATTGCCTCTATTCTGCAGAGGAGCAAACTGAAGCTCAAAGACATGTCACTAAGAACCCACTGGGCAGATGACCTCCCTCCAGAGCCCAACACTCTTTATACCATTAACAGTGACTCTCAACTGGGTTTGATTCTCCCCCACCCAGCCACCCAGGGGACATTTGACAATGTCTGTAGATACTTTTGGATGTCACAACTGGGGGTGGGGCTGCTACTAGTATCTAGTTCAACAGGGGCCCGGAATGCTGCTAAATATTGTACAATGTACAGGAAAGTTTTCCACAACTAAGAAGCATCCAGCCCCAATGTCAATGGTGTCAAGGTTGAGAAATTCTGCATGACATTAAGCAATGCACCACAGAGGCCCTCCGCAAAAGTGACTGTAAAGACAGCAAGAAGAGAGAAGAGGAAGAAAGGAGGGAGGGAGAAAAATCATCATACTACGTTATGACCACTCCCAGGAAATCTTCAAGGAACCCCTTTTTAAAAGCAGCATTTTAGAATGGCAAAGGCAGTGGCTGTGGAATTGGGTAAATCCGGTTTCCAAAACTTGCTGCCTCTGCTGACAGGCTGGGCGTGATGTTGAACTAACTAGTGAAACCCCTGGGCCATGGTTTCCCTTTGGTAAGAGAGAGATGATAACAGACACCTTGCAACATTATCATGAATATTAAACGTGAACAGGTGCTTGGTAATTACAATTTCTCTTAAGGACGCTGAATAGCCCAGGTAACTAATTCTCAAATTTTTGAGGCTGTGGAAGACTACTCTAGCTTTTATGCAAAGAGACATCTAGGATGGGGTTCATGAATATGCATTTTAATAGTCATCCTGGATATTTCTTCTTTTAGAAAAATTTTTGAGAGAGAGCACACATAATCAGGGGAGAGGGGCAGGAGAGAAAGAGACAGAGAGAGAGACAGAGAGACAGGGAGAGAGAGAGAGGATCCCAAACAGGCTCCATGCTCAGCATAGAGCTCAACTTGGGGCTCGAGCCCATTGACCCTGGGATCATGACCCTAGTCACAATCAAGAGTTGGACGCTCAGGGCGCCTGGGCAGCTCAGTTGGTTAAGCGACTGACTTCAACTCAGGTCATGATCTCATGGTTTGTCGGTTCAAGCCCCGCACTGGGCTCTGTGCTGACAGCTTGGAGCCTAGAGTCTGCTTCAGATTCTGTACCTCTGCTCCCCCTCCCCTGCCGTCTCTCCACTGCTTGCACTCTCTCTCTCCCAAAAATAAATAAACATTAAAAATTTTTTTAAAAAGTTGGATGCTCAACTGACTGAGCCACCCAGGCACCTCTCACTTTTTTTGTTTAAGATTTTATTTTTGAATAATCTCCAAACTCAACGTGGGGCTCAAACTTACAACCCCAAGATCAAGAGTCAGATGCTCACTCAATTGACTCAGCCACATAGGCATCCCCCATTGTTGCATTTTTATGTAGCTCAAACTGGATCCCCATATATAGCAATTAACACAACACATGGTCTCCAATAAGAACCCAACAGATACTACTAATTAACTGCATTATTCTCATGCTCTTTATCCCACAGAATACTAATGCTATGCAATGGGTAAAAATTCTTCACATCGCAGAGAACAGCTCCATATCAAGCAATGAAAAATGGAGGGTCGAATGCAAAGATAGGGCTCCCTTTGCTGACTTCCTCTAGCACAGAATCCACAGAATGTAACATATTACTACATATTACCAGATCCTCAACTGTAAACTCAAACCAACTCTATAGCTTTAACTTAAAATACTAAGCAAACAGCGGGCAATGGGCCCGCATAGTGGGAGCTAGGAGTCTGGGAGAACCTGGGGCTGGAAAGAGGGTACAGAGTTTGCCAGCATCTATGCAGTGAGTGGGGTGAGAGGTGAACCTATTGACTCTGAGTCTGGCGCTCCCCTCACTAAGCTGTAACTGTCTCCTAATCAATTTCCCTTATCTATACGCTCTCAGTGCAGTTTTCCGCTAGTAAGCAGGAGCCGTGTAATCCTCTTGGCTAAGCAATAAGCCTGATAGGTGGAATGCATATGAATAATTATGAGACTATGGAGAACTGTCCTTTCCCAAAGTAATAGCCAAAAGAGCGCCAATTTTATAGTATTACCGGCCAAGTTTCAGTAGAGTGAGTGTCCTGGATGGAGTGGTAGCTGTCGTGGAAGCTGATGTTGGCCACGAATAGGGATGCTGTAAGATGGTTCCATAGATTAGAAACGGCCCGTTGTTGGGGCACCTGGGTGGCTTAGTCGGTTAAGCGTCCGACTTTCGCTTAGGTCATGATCTCGCAGTTCGTGGGTTCAAGCCCCGCGTCGGGCTCTGTGCTGACTGCCAGCTCAGAGCCTGGAGCCTGTTTCAGAGTCTGTGACTCCCTCTCTCTCTGACCCTCCCCTGCTCACGCTGTCTCTCTCTCTCCTAGAAATAAATTAAAAAAAAAAAAAAAAGGAAATGGCTCATTGTTTAAATGTTTCAGGTGTATGAAAGATGGAAAACAACCTCTCCACCGCTGTGAATGAATATGAAGAGATACTCCGTGAGTCTACTGGCTACAGTGTTCTGCAGATCCTATCACTGGTGGTGCTTGGGATCACCTTTGTCCTTGGCATCCTGGGAAATGGGCTTGTGATCTGGGTGGCTGGATACCGGATGCCACGCACCGTCACCACCATCTGTTACCTGAACTTGGCCTTGGCCGACTTCTCTTTCACTGCCACTCTACCATTTCTCATCACCTCAATGGCCATGAGAGAACGGTGGCCTTTTGGCTGGTTCCCGTGCAAGGTAATTCACGTCATTGTGGACATAAACCTATTTGGAAGTGTCTTCCTCATCGCTTTCATTGCCCTGGACCGCTGTATTTGTGTCCTGCATCCAGTGTGGGCCCAGAACCACCGCACTGTAAGTCTGGCCTCAAAACTCATCATTGCACCCTGGATTTTTGCCCTAGTCCTTACCTTGCCAGTTTTCATCTTCTTGACTACAGTGAATGATGGGACTGGGAATATATACTGTACTTTCAACTTTGCAAACTGGGGCAACAGTACTGAAGAGAGGTTGCGGGTGGCAATCACCATGTTGACGGCCAGAGGGATCATTCGGTTCATCATTGGCTTCAGTATGCCGATGTCCACTGTTGCCATCTGCTATGGGCTCATTGCTGCCAAGATGCACAAAAAAGGCATGATTCAATCCAGCCGTCCCTTACGGGTCCTTACTGCCGTTGTGGCTTCCTTCTTTATCTGTTGGTTCCCCTTTCAAATGGTTGCCCTGTTAAGCACAGTCTGGCTCAAAGAGATATTGTTTGAGGGTAAGCACAAAATCCTTGATGTCTTGACTAATCCAACAAGCTCCCTGGCCTTCTTCAACAGCTGCCTCAATCCAATGCTTTATGTTTTCGTGGGCCGAGACTTCCGAGAGAGACTGATCCACTCCCTGCCTGCCAGTCTGGAAAGGGCGCTTAGTGAGGACTCAGTGCAGACCACTGACACAACAAACAAATCCACTTTATCTCAGGAAGCAGAGTTACAGGCAATGTCAACGTAAGGGAGGCTGGGGGGCATTTGTGAGCTCTGTATGCTCTTACCCTGCTCCCATTTCCTATTTCCAGTGACATAAGGTGTCATTTTTGGATTCTGGGCCTCAGCTTCTTCCCCAAGGATAAGTGGAGATTGTAAAGGGTTCAAGGGAGGAGAAGAGAAAGTGCCGGATAATTGGTAACGCTTGGATGAGAGAGTATAAGGGGAAAACTTTAGTTATTTTACCATTAAGATGTTTGCCGTAGGTTTTATTTTAAGCTGTTTCTAATCAGATTACAGAAATTTCTTTGTATTAATAGTTTACTAAGCATTTCTTTTAAAAATCATGAATGGCTATAGGATTGTATCAAATACATTTTATGCATATATTAAGATACTATTTTTATCCTTTTATTTACATCATCATACATTACATTGATTGAGTTTTGCATGTGAAACTACCCTTGCATTTCTAGAATAAACCAGGATTGGTCATGATGTATTTTGCGTAATTATAATTTATGCCACTAGATTTGTTTATAACTTTTGCATTTATGTTTATGTAAGGATGGGTCTGTTATTTTACTTTCTGCTAATGTCCTTGTCAGCTTTTACACCAAACTTCTTTTTTTTTTTTTTTTTTTTTTTTAAATATATTTTTATTTATTTCTAGGAGAGAGAGAGAGACAGCGTGAGCAGGGGAGGGTCAGAGAGACAGGGAGTCACAGACTGAAACAGGCTCCAGGCTCTGAGCTGGCAGTCAGCACAGAGCCCGACGCGGGGCTCGAACCCACGAACCGCGAGATCATGACCTAAGCGAAAGTCGGACGCCCAACCGACTAAGCCACCCAGGCGCCCCTTTTACACCAAACTTCTAATGGCCTCCTACACAGACTTGGGAAGTGACTCATCTGATTGTATTCTTTCAAAAATGTTCAGAAATTCACCAGTGAAGCCAGTTGGCCCTGGGTATTCTTTCTGGGAAGACGAGTTCAATTTCTTTCATAGTTATGGGACTATTAAGATTTTCTATTTCCTTTTCTTTCAATTTTGGTAAACTGTGACCTTTAATGAATTTGGCCATTTCATCCAGACTCTCAAGTCTATTGGCATGAAACAGTATAATAACTGTCTGTAGTACTTGGTATGCTTTCCTTCACATAATGAGAATGTAAGCTATCTGAAGGCAAGGATTTTGGTCCATATTGTTCACTGATGGATCCCCATACACTATGTGTAAAATAGTGCCTACTATGTGATAGACACTCAATACAATTGAATTAATGAATCAATAAACAATGGTATCATCCAGATGCCAAGTGAGAATCTTTATATTTTTTATTTTTCTAAATTTTAAAAAAATGTCTTTATGTATTTTT